TGGGGCGGGGGGAGGGGGCTCGACACATGAAATCTGCCCAGAAAGCTAAACTGGCGGAGATGTCAAGTCAACAAACTGGAAAGTCACCCATCTCCAAGAAGGCACTTCTCATTGCTCTAAAAGTGCTTGAAACCTGAACACTGAACATGAACCTCGTGCCTAGCTTTCACTGGTAAAAGCCTCTACCTTATGTCTGAAAACAAAAAATTTCTTCAAGAAAACAAAAATTGCAAATTGTATGCTAATATTAGTATCAATTTTCCAAGCAAAATGATCAAGAATTTGAAATGCCTTACATTTATTAAATGAAATAAACTTGGCAAGCTACCATTATACTGAAGATTTATATCATGAATTCAAACCACCCTATTTCATACTAATTCCCTAGGACTGTGGTCGGCAACTGCGGCTCGCAAGCCACATGCAGCTTTTTGGCCCCTTGAGTGTGGCTCTTCCACAAAATACCACGTGCAGGCGTGCACATACAGTGCGATTGAAACTTCGTGGCCCATGCGCAGAAGTCTATTTTGAAGAAGTACTGTTGATATTTGGCTCTGTTGACTAATGAGTTTGCCGACCACTGCCCTAGGATGTCTTTTCTATAATGACTGCGAATATAGCACTGTCCACAATTCTTTGGATTGTGCCAGTTTGGGCCCAATGTACCACCCAACCTCATGGTGGAAAAAATCAGCAACTAAATCCCAGTGGGGACTACTTGTATAATAAGCACCATAATGGAATATTCTCATTAGAGGCATCCAAAGTAACACACCCCACTTTCCAACAATTACCTCATTCCTCCACATGGTTTTTTAAGACTTTTGGGCCTTGATTCTGTAAGAAATGTCAACTAGTGTGACCATCATGCCCCCTGTTTTTGTGTCAACAAGTTAGAGGGCTGGTCTCAATAGATGTAATTAGTTAACACCACTACTGCGTTTCTAAGTGCTTGGTTTTATAGGTGGATTCCAGGGCTATTTCAACACCGATTAAATCAAACATGCTTTCATAAAACTGTCATTTTAAAAGAATTCAGAAACGAGAGGGTGAGAGAGATCCACTGTAAACAGAGGGGGTTGGTGTGCGGTGAGGGGCAGGAGAAAGCAAAGAAATGGCCAGAGGACAAAGCACAGCTGGAAGCCTGCCTCCGGGAGGCTGGGGAACACGGCCGATGAGAGCAACTTGATCTGAGTTTCCTATAAACAAACGGATCATCAGAATTCTTAACGCAGGATTCCGCCGCGTGACACCACTGAAAACTTTAACAAGGAAGACGGGCGCAGTGGAAGGCAGGTAGTGGACCTTCCAAATACTATGCCTGCATCTCAAACTCCTGCTTCAGGCTGAAAGAAGAGAAGGAAACGTGTCAGGGCATTGTTTACAAACTAAGAACTCTCTCCTGAAAGCCTAATTTACTCTTTTAGAAAAGTTTTTATTGAGTTATAAACATACATGCTTTGACAGATGTTGTGCACATCTTGAATTTACACACACACGTGCACCCACACACAGATCTCCACTGCCCAGGTGACATAAAATGTTTTAAACATTCCAGAAGACTCTCAATGTGCCCTTTTCCAGTCAATGCCTGCACCCCCACCCCCTGAGGTAACCACTACTCTGACTTCTACCATCCTTTTATTAAGACATAAATGAATATAAGATTTGGGTGTGGAAGAGGAAAAAAGACACAATCATTACCTTTTCAAGTAAGCGTGCACATTCCCAAAGCCATGGTATTTGGCTAGGTACACCAGGACCCCAGTCGCACACCGCCCATCTCGCTGACGACAGAAGCTGCAATTGCAGATTCTTCGACAAGGCGGGCAATGCCAGTTCTGAAGAATTGTGAAAAGGCACAATTAAATCAAACCTACTCTCTCTCTCCCCCTTACTTACCTACTCCTATTTAACCTCTAAGGTGGGTATCATCAATCGCTTTTAAATCTTTTCATTTTTTTTATTAAAAGAAAAAAATCTTAACATGGTTAATATCCACTAGTCACGCCTAATGTTCCCTTAGGAATTCCGGCACAGACAGTCACTCGGCATTGACCAGGGGAGAACATGAACAGAGAATCAGATTCCCCTGAACAGGCAGGTCCCGAGCTCTCGGAAAGGGCTGACACCCACCCGGCACCAGCACTATGAATTCACCTGCCTTTCCCAAAAGGAAAGGCCCACAACAGAAACCCTTTCTCCGATGCCATCTTTCTGGCCCCATCAGCTAGCGCCTGACCTTCAAAGCCCACAGGACCACCCTTCCGGGCACCTACTGGATCCAGCAGGGCGTCCTTGACCTCTTCACCGTAGCGGTTCCGAAGGCAGGGGCCGCAGAACTGGCCCCGAACGCCCCAGCACTCTGGGTTTCTGCAGTTTGTTTTGGTATCGATGGTTTTCTGGCGGCACTGATGACAAGTAGATCCCTACCAATAAAAAGCAAATTAAAACAATAACAACACTGCTTTCTGTAGAGAAAACCAGCTTATTTAAAGAATGTCCTCCCTGATAGGTGGTCTGACATTTTGAGTCTTATTTCCTATCTTATATACACATGTATGTGCTAGGACAGTGGTCGGCAAACCGCGGCTCATGAGCCACATGCAGCTCTTTGGCCCCTCGAGTGTGGCTCTTCCACAAAATACCACGTGCGGGCGCACACGTACAATGCGATCGAAACTTCGTGGCCCATGCGCAGAAGTCGGTTTTCGGAAAGGAGATAGATGAAACAAGTATCCAAGACGAGTGTGGATGGGAGAGTTGGAAGGGGTCGACTTCAATCAGATTGAGGGCGTTTTTAGCAAAGGCCAGCTTAGGAGTATCCTAATTAAAGTAATATCAATGTACCTACCTATATAATTTAAGTTTAAAAAATTTGGCTCTCAAAAGAAATTTCAATCATTGTACTGTTGATATTTGGCTCTGTTGACTAATGAGTTTGCCGACCACTGTGCTAGGACATGGAAAGTATCTCAAGCATGGCGATTTCATTCAGTTGGCGGATTCAATATTATCTACACTTCTTTCCTTCAAATAAAGGTCTTAACGTGCAAAAAAAACTTGCCCAGAATCCTTTTTTTATCTTTAGCACACCACCATCTCCCCCACACCCATCTATGTAGACACGCCTAATAGATACACAGGAAATAAGTGCTGGATGAACCAATTTCTAAACTAACACAAAAGATTTAATGCTACTGAAGACTGAGGAGGGCTAGATCCCAGGGATGCTACAAAATTCTCTTTTCTCATATGAAAGACTCAGGCACACATCCCATATGCTCGGACATTTAGAACATCAGCAAAACTCTCAGGAGAGAGGCCATCCTTCCTCTCACAGACGTTTACATTTTCATTCAGAAAGTGGAGGCTTTTACCAAGGAACGGCTGTATATCTTCTCTCGAGAATTGTTGCAAATGTTCTCCAACTCCTCTTCTGTAACCTCTTCCACTGGCCGGATGACATGCGGAAGGGTCATGGATCCGGGACGACGACCTCGGGGCATGTCATCATCCTGCAGAACAGCAAGCATGGGACCAGTGTTCTGACCGGCTCTCCCCAGTCCCAAGTCTCAGACACCTGATTTATCATTTTTTTCACAGAGAATTCAACTTGGGAAATCTTTCTTAAGGCTTATGGAGAGGACACAAGTCCTCAGTTTACAGGACACCATCATGAAAATGATTCCTAAAACTAAGAAAAGCCAACGAAGAAGAAAACTTTGACTCCTTCACCCGCTAACAAAAGTCATCAAATATTCCAGACATTCACAACTTGGAGTCATAAGAGAATCCATTTATAGGAGAGAAAACTTAAAAATGTAGTCAGTGTGGTAAAACCTTTAGACAGACAGAGTTCAAATCTTACTCAACATAAGAAAATCCACACTAGAGAGAAAACTTACAAAGGTAGTGTTATTTGTCAAAGCTTTTACCCCATTTGCAAGCCTTACTGGGCATCCGAAAATACTGAACAGAAACATTATAAACCTAATTTATGTAGCAATGCTTTTATTCAAAGCTCCAGCTTTGGGAATCATCAAAGAATTCAAGTGGAAAGAAACCTTACCCATATGACTGAGATAAAACTTATGTTAAGTGTTCAAGCCTTACTCAACGTCAGAGACTCCACTGTGGAGAGAAATCATATAAAACTCATATACGTGGAAAAGCCTGTAACCAGGGCTCACACCTCACTTGATACCAGAATTTACAAGTGTGGGTGGGAGTACATGAAACACAGAATTTATTCTTGTATTTTTCCATACAAACAACTGTAAACCTACTTTTGCCAACCACTGTACATTTTTGAGAGAAACCAAACAAATATATGGCAAGGCCTATCCAAAGTTTAAGCCTTGTGGAACATAACAAAATTCTTACTAGGGAGAAACTTTACGAAGGTACTGCGTGTAACCAGCTTTATGAAAAATGCACAACTTTGTAGTCATGACAGAATTCATATGAGATGGAAACCATACAAATGTCTCAAGACCTTTAGCAATGGCCTGGATACACCAAAGAATTCCCACAGGACACAGACATTACAAATGTAATGAAGATGTAGGTTTAATCAGTTCTTTCAAAGAACACACACACAAAATCATACTGGGGGCACCTAGTCTATTACTTTTGAAGTTTAACCAATGTCAGATGTTAAATTCCAAGAGAATGAAAAGTTAAAATTGCCCTGGCCAGTGTGGGTCAATGGCTAGAGCATCAAATGCACACCAAAGGGTCTCGGATTTAATTCCTGGTCAAGGGCATGTACCTGCATTGCAGGTTCGCTCCCTGGGCACGTGTGAGAGGCAACCAGTGTGTCTCTCTCACATCAATGTCTCTCTCTCTCCCTCTCTCTCTCTCTCTCTCTCTCTCTCTCTCTCCCCCTCCCTCCCTTTCCATCCTCTGAAAAGCAATGGAAAAAATATCCTCAGGTGAGGATTAACAACAACAAAAAAGTTAAAATTATTTTTAAAACTCATGAGAATGCTGTATGTCAATGGAGCAAGAAAATCTGTGGAAAGGTCTAATTAATTATCTTCAGTTTATAAAATGTTCTTCGAAGTTTCTTGAAAAGGCTACACTGTTATTGATGACTTGAAAAAAAATCACCGAATAACTTGGTATGACATTAAAATTCTGAGTGGTTTGAGAACATTTAATGTGAATCATTTGGCGTTAGGTCTACAGAAGATGAAAAACAGAAGAGCAAGCACAAAAGTGGAGAACTCACATTCATGTAGCCGTCCATGGTCTTCCTCTTTCTCACCAACATGTACTTATCCTCCTCCTCTGCCTCCTCCTCCTCCGTGGGTAGAGCGCCACGGGACCCGAGGATCCGGGACCTTGACCTGGTAAGAGGACGTGCTCTCCGATCGGGGTTTCTCCTGGACGTGACACCTGGGAATGTGCGCCTCCGGGGTGTCTTTGGCTGCTAAACAAAACACACGACAGAACCCATTTATTCCAGAATGAAGGGAAGTGGCACCTTCTATGCATGTGTTTAAGTAAAGGGAGAGCTCCATTTCCTGATTTTCTGTCCTTTCTATAACGCATGGGAAATGAGCCCAAAATACAGCCGTTATAATTTTGCTTTTGTAACACCAAGTCCAGTTTCTCTCCAACTGAGAATTTATTTATTCATCTACATAATAACGATGTAAGAATAAATCTCATTTTCCAAAACAACCTTTTCTACATCTCTTTTTTTAAATATATATTTTTTTATTGATTTTAGAGAGGAAAGAAGAGGGAGAGAGAGATGGAAACATCAATGATGAGAGAGAAAGAATCATTGATCGGCTGCCTCCTGCACACCCAACGCAGGGAATGGAGCACAAAACCCGGGCATGTGCCCTGACTGGGAATCCAACTGTGACCTCCTGGTTCATAGGTTGACACTCAACCACTGAGCCACACTGGCCAGGCTCTACGACCTCTCTTAAGCCCTAACACACTCACTGTTTCTACAGTGCACAGAAGAGAATGTATGTGTGGTTTTCCTTCTTCCATTCCTTGCTAGCTTCTTCCCTTTCTCCTCAAGGAGGGGTAGGGAAGGGAAGTCTTTTCTTTTGTACCACAGCAGACAACACCGAATTCCCCCGAGTTACACCAGCTTAGTTCTCAGAATACGCTCACATATATTAGGCCACGACTTGGTTAAGAAATCTTTTTTTTCCTTCTCAGATTTTAAAAACATTGATTATTATGCATCTACCATGGAAGAGAAATGTGCAAATGCTGGAATACAAGAAAAATATTCTCCTATCTTTAGTCGGTGCCCTTGAGGGGTTTAGTCTGGTTAGAAAAAAGAGAAATAACCAATCAAAAGGGATTTGAGCACTGCACAAGCCTGGCATAGGGAGGCCACACCTTCCCCAGGAAGATGAGTCCCAGAGATGTGTCAGGTTTCCTCTGTTTCCTCTTTGTCTACAAAATTCCTCTTACACACATCCCCACACTGCTCTATGAGAAGGTTTCCTCTTTGTCTATAAGATCACACAAAATAAGGGGACTGGATTTTCAAATATGCTAACAAATCTACCTCAGACCTGCCCAAAATGCTACTGAACAAACAAGGAGTCGCACTTACTGATCGGGGGCCTGGGAGGGAATGCCGTCCAGGGAATGAGCCAGGGAAACTTTCTAATTCCGCCATTAGCTTTGCAAGCTAAAAAGGAAGGAAACGAAGCAGCAATTATTGGTTTAGCATAACTGCTGAAAATGAGCAGCTTATGGAAATTACTGTCGAATATCTCAGAGTTTCTGATTTCTCCTACACATTTACCAAGACTAATAGATTTTTTAAAAAAGGAAAGTGAGCAAAGGGAAAGAAACACATTTGAAGCACACACTGTAAAAATAATGACTTCATAGCTACACTGAAAACAGTTCTTGACACAGATAATCAACAAGTGGCTTAGAGAAAAGCTGGAAGAGTTCATTCTAACACATTCCAAGTGCGATACCTACCATTGCTTTGTTTTGCTTTATATTTAAAGCCCTTTTCTCCAGAAAATTCATGCCACTTTCATCTTCTGAATCAGAGTTGGAATCAGCCACAGATTTCTCGGGGGGTGCAGGAGCTGCTGCTCTTTTGCTGGCTGCGCCCCTGGTATTTCGAACTGGAAACTTCATGGCCACCCGGAGAGGCCCGGACCGTCGGCTCTGACTGCGGGTCCTGCAGCCGGCACGGTCTGACTGTAGTCGCTGGTTAATCAGAACAATTGAGTTATCAGTGACTTGTCTGCTGAACAGGCTACATTGCCTCTAAACAAAAGATGCTTGCATCAAATACATTTTAACCGGCCACTTTAATTGTCAATTTTAAGCTCTGGGTAACAAAACCGGGAATTATAGATACATACAACAATCTGAGTGTAGTGTAACTCCGGTAGCCTATCGGGGACACATTGTGATAAGCTGTTTTCACAGCCCCTAGGCCAGTGGTTCTGAGCCTTTTTTTTTTTTTAAATGTGAAAATCCCAACTCTCTTTTTAATTTAAAAATAGATCTTTATGTATTTCAAAAGAATTCCTACAGGAACAAATATGTGCTTTCCCATAAACATGATTTCAATGCGAATGGCAATATTAAACTATACTGACGATGTCTGAAGGCTTTAATCTACTTTTTAAAAAATTGTAGTAAAATATACTTAACATAAAATTTACCATTTTTAAGTGTACAGTTCACTGTTATCAAATACATTCAGATTGGTGTGCAACCTTCACCACCATCATCTTCAGAGCCTTTTCATCACCTCCAACTGAAACTCTGTGCCCTTTAAACAACTCCCCGCAGCCCCCGGCAACCACCAGTCTGCTTCCTGTCTCTATGAGCTGACGACCCTAGATACCTCTCTAATCCACTTATCATAAGGATAAAATGAGAAAATTCTTATTTTAAAGTAATGTAGGCTTCCATCATCAAATATGTGTTAAGATCGGCCACTGGGGAAATGCAAATCAGGATCACAAAATACCACTTCGTACCCACATACATTGCTGGCTGGAATGTAAGACGGTGCAGCCACTTTGGAGGACAGCCTGTCAGATCCTCCAAAGGTTAAACAGCTACTCTATAAGCCAGCAGTTACACTCCTAGGTAGATACTCAAAAATGTATGTCCACACAAAAGCTTGTACATCAGTGCTCATGGCAGTTTGTACCATAATAGCCAAAAGGTACAAACAGCCCAAACATCTATCAACTGATGAATGGATAAAGTGTGGTATATTCACACAATGGAATGTGATTCAGTAATTAAAAGGTGCTAAGTATTGGCTTATGTCACAACATGGAAGAACCTATGCGAAACAAGCCAGTCACAAAGGACCACATATTGTACGGTACCATCTCTATGAAAAGTCCAGAATAGGCAAACCTATAATGATAAAAAACAGGCTGGTGGTTGCCAGTGACTGAGTGTGTTGGGAAAGGATGCAAAGTGACCGTTGATGGGTACTGGGTTTTTTTGGAGTAATAAAAATACTATCCCAAAATAGATTGTTGTGATGGTTGAGAAAAAAACAAGAAAAAATATCCCCCAGAAAATCCCAGAAAGTGAAGACCCACTTTCAAAATTCAAAACTTTCTAAAATCCCCACAGCTTTTACTACTCTTCATGTACTTTTCGGATACGCAAATTGAGACTATAAAATGACAAAAAACTTTCATGAGTTCTGAAGACTTTTAATTGATTGGCATTTTATTGATTACAATACTCAGCACCTACAAAGAATTGAAACAATATCCAGAAGTGATTTGGGCTGCAGACTACGTTTGGGTCATGTCCAGATTTTCAGAGCTGCCCTGATGATAACGCCAACATGCACGGACTTAGACCAGTATTACTTATTACAGGAAATACTGCACTACCGTGAAGCTATGAGAGCCATAAAAACATTCCCTGGTCAGGCCCTCTCACTCCTGTCGGCGTCACTCAAGTGTGGTTCCAGGTGGTCAGACCACATTGAGCTGTAGAGCATGCACTTGACTGCAAATCAACACACGGCTTCCTTTGTCAAGAAAGTCGTGCTACCAAGAAACCATCTGCAGAACTGAACAGTATGTTCGGGGAGAGTGGGACCCAGGTGGTGCAGCGGCGGCGGCAGCGGCAGCAGCAGCCTGAGCAGGAGGAGAGGTTAAAAAGGTAAGGCAGCGTGTGCAGGAAAAGGAGCGAAAGTGGAAGCAGGAAGGGCCCTCATTGTCTTTATCTGCACTCGGGCCCCAGCGCATGCGTTACCATCACTGGTTTTCCAAATGCATGGATCTACGATGGGAACATTTACCCAAGGCCTGGCCTATGCCAGGCAGTGGACTGGGCACTGGAACCTAACTGTGAATGGAACTAATCTTGAGGACACACATGTGCTTCCTGATTAGGCTGGATTTCTGTGGCCATGGAAATCTGGAGGTTGGCCAAGTTTACCTTATCAGTTTCCAAGATTTTCCGAGCCTACAAAACGTTCAGGCTTTACACATAGGACTACTTTAGTAAACTGCTTTAAGACCTAACTACTCTCAAATTTTAAAACGGTCAACAGAATCTCTGGCATGACTCAAATGAAAATTATAAGAAAAAAAAAAAAAAGCTCTTTCAAAGCAAGTACATCACGCCTCAAAATGTACCTTACTTCTTGATATTGGTGAAATTCTCCAACTCACCATTCCATCTTGTATCTCACTCTCTGAGAAACCGCAAAATGATTCATCGTCAGAGTCGGCGTGAAAAATACTGGCCAGTTTGTTAGTGACATCTGGCCTCGTTTTCTGTAAAAATCCACAATGGTCTAACACATCTTGCACCTCACTTTCTGAGAAGCCGCAGAAAGATTCATTATCAGAGTCCTCATAAAAAACATTTGCCAGTTCTTCACTGATATCTGACCTGAATTTAGGTTTCTGTAAAATAAATAAATAAATGTGGTTGTGCATCTTCCCCCCTCTTTCAAGAACCAATTTCCCATAAACTGTGCAGAGAGCAAATCACATTCACAAGTGCACTACAAGAGAATAGCTTTTGTTACAAAGAAAAACGGTTCAGAGGTTTACAAATGATTTCTGAGTTGTTATGGCAAATCATCAAGCATGTTAGGTTAGGCGACATTTCAAAAGGATAGAATAAGTAGCTAATCTGCCTCCAACAATTACTACCTAGAACCACAGCAAAAAGTGAAATGAAATTACAGTGCATACTGTATTTTCATAACCGCTGTATAGAAATGTAGGCAAAAAGCAAGCCGTTTTAATCATGCACAAAGCACTTGGGGCCTTTTGAGCACTGCAGACTCAATTCTGTTTATTCTCAGGCAGCACTTACTGTGTTTGCAAAATTATCAGAAGCAAAGCTGTCACAACTGTCATCAGAGGATGACGAGGTTTCCATGGAAATCAACTTCACATAGCTGAATTTCTTGAAGTTCCTCTTTCCTCTGTGATCCTTTTGCTGCAAATGGAAATGGCAGTACCATTAAGTGGGATGCTCACTACAGCAGCTAACTAAAACATCATTTTTTAGTTTAGTAGCTTCAAACAGCACAGACATATCCATTTTTTTAAACCCTGTATAGGAAAAGGGTAGACTTAGCAAATGCTACAGAAAATTTTTCAAAACTAACTAAAATCCTAAAAAGGGATCCCCTCTGAAGGAAAACTGTAATGATATTTATCAACTTAAATAAATATCTGTAGAGCTACCCCTCTACCCACCTGAAGAGCCCCCAAGATCTTAGCATTATACTGAGCTCCCAATGAGTTTAATGCCAAACTCCCAGAATCTGCCCTTTAAAAAAAAGTAAACTGCATTTCAAAATTGCAAAATGGTGGAGTGATCTCTCTCCCTCAGCTAAAATCAAGGTCTTCTGCTGCAAGCCGTGGGCTATGCACTATGATACTAACTCCCCAAACTACAAAACTGGACAGCACTTCTACTTCAAGATGGCAGGCTTTCAAATAGGCCTTGTTCCGATCAGGGCGGGTAAAGTGATTTCAGCACAAGTCCTTACAAATAGAACGTATCAACACAGTGAGCAAATGTTCAAGGAGCCAAGTTAAAGGTCAAACAGAACTCCAAACCCAGGGAGTATGCCAATTCCACCCCAGCGCTCTACTAGCCTAGCCTGACTTTCAAGCTCGTAACAGCCCCCTTGCTATACAAGTCTTAAGTTTTAAGAAGTCCTTTCATAAGGCACAAATTACTTGTAGATATAAAAATGCTTCTTTCATTCATACTAGGTGTACCGGTTAATAAGGTGGATTTTTTTTCAATAGATGGAGTTACACATATATATGCGATTTGATATGTATGCTATTTTGTTGTATTGACAACAAGCTTCAAAGCTTCATGTCAAATTTTCTGAAGGTATTAACATCATAGATAGTTTTACGCTTAAAAATGCCGAATTTTGTGCCCCCAAAAAAGAGCATTTGCGGGAAGTTTTAATTCATTATTTTGAAGGAAAGTGCTGCTGAAAGTTATCGTATATATACTTCAAGATACTTGTGAACGCTGGTTTAAACGCTTTAAAAGTGATGATTTTGATGTGAAAGACAAAGAATGTCCAGGTCAACCGAAAAAGTTTGAAGACCAACAAGTATTGGATATACTGATCGCTACTGACCACAAATAATCAATTTGAACCACAAACAGAATGGGCCAGAAGACACGGCAGAGTGATTCTGCTTCATGATGATGCACCATCACACACTTCAAAACCAGGTAAAGACATGTTAAAAGATCTTGCCTGGGAAGTATTAACCCACTCGCTGTATTCACCAGGCCTTGCTCCTTCAGATTGCCACTTGTTCTGATCGATGGCACACGCACTTTCTGAGCAGCACTTCAAAACATATGAAAAAGTGGAAAACTGGGCCTCTGAATTGGTTTGCCTCAAAACAGGAAAAGTTCTACTGGGACGGTATCCACAAATTACTGGAAAGATGGGGGAAATAGCTAGCGATGGACATTACTTTGAATAAAGCACTTTGAATAAAGACTGTTTCTCTTGAAATTATCATGTTTTCTTTGGATTACAAAATCTGCATTATTAACCGGTTGACAGTTCATCTGAATTATTAATGGGTTAGACAGTTAATCTGCATTATTAACCGGTTGACAGTTAATCGGCATAATTAACCATAATCAAAGAAAACATGATAATTTCAAGAGAAACAGTCTCTTGCAAATAAAATTATTTTCATGATGATGGTACCCAACCATCTGTTGCTCCTAAGTAGACTCCATTCAGCAACCTTAGGACGTTTTTGTCCTTTGTCCTTTTATTTATTTTTTTAATATATTTTATTGATTTTTTACAGAGAGGAAGGGAGAGGGATAGAGAGTTAGAAACATCGATGAGAGAGAAACATCGATCAGCCGCCTCCTGCACACTTCCTACTGGAGATGAGCCCGAAACCAAGGTACATGCCCTTGACCGGAATCGAACCTGGGACCTTTCAGTCCGCAGGCCGACGCTCTATCCACTGAGCCAAACCGGTTATGGCCCTTTGTCCTTTTAGAAAGGCAATAAAATATGATAAAAGGTAGAGCTACTACATATTAAAAGGATCTCTGAACCCCATTTTTCAGATGAGGACATTCAAGGCTCCGGGAAGATGAAATTTATTGTCCAAGATCATAGGGCTGGAAGGAGAGCTCAGCCTACAATCTCCTGAAACAGCAGTATTCCTGTCTTACTGCAGGAATTATCATCATTTACTTATCAACCAATGCAAGCAGAGGCTCAAGACAGATTGGAGGAAGGCATTCCATTGGAAGCAGTCAGGGAAATATATGCTGGGCTTTTAACAAGTCAGCACATGCCAAAAGTTGTTACTAGGCAAATGTTTGCAGGGAACGACCTAGAAGAAAAAAGCAAATACTTATGATTGAGGTCAACTTTTTTGGCAGACAGGGAATAGACTAATAGCACTTAGTAGGTGTTTTCGGTGCCAGGCACTTAGTATGCTTTCACATTATAATTCATTCTTTGCAACAAAGGTGTATCATTATTCCCACTTAACAAATGGGGAAACAGCTTCAGGGAGGTGAAATGGATTATTCAAGTCGAGCGATTGCTTAAATTTGAATCCAGTAATGTCAGATTCCAAGCTCGGCTACATTCGGCTTTCTTCACTCTGAAAACCAAAGCCTAGCTCCTAGGATGTCTCCGAAACCACGTGCCCAACCCGCTCCCCCCACCCCCCAGCCTCCCCACTTGTGAACCTAACTCTGATATTTATTTTAAGCATGTCACATTCTTCCTTTTCACCCTACCCCCACCTTCTACCCTCCCCTGGGGCAGACCCCACGTTCCGGTTTCCGTTAAGAGCAAAGAGTAACGTTCCACTGGGCCAACATCCTGCAGCTTGAGAGTAAGGCCCCTGCGGGCTGGGGAAAGGAATGGGAAAAAAACCGAAAGGCTGCAAATAGTTTGGACCTCCAAGTCTTGCAATTGTACTTAATCACCGCCTGGGACTAGAATCACCCCCACCCGTGTGCGCCACCAAAGTGTGTGCAAGACCTTTAAACTTCCAACCCACCGACCCTGAGCGGTTAGAAGTGGCACAAGCGGACGGGGAGCTGGCAAGGGCCGGGGAGCTGGCAAGGGCCGGGGAGCTGGCAAGGGCCGGGGCGCTGCAGGGCATGCACAGGGTAAAGTCACAGGGAGCGCATCCCACCGGCCAGGATCGGGCCCGCGGACACAGTGGGGGCCCCGCGGACACTATGGGGAAACTGGCCACCCCCGTGCGCTGTCCGGCACGTGCACCTCGACCCCACGTGGCCTTGGATTCCCCACCGCTGCCAATCAACCTGCAAATCGCTCAAATCTCTGAACCGCCGCGCACCACTTGCGCACGCCCGGCGGGGACTGTCCCAGACCCCGAATCACCCCAAACTGCACAAAACCTGGGGCTTTCCTAAAGGGGCGCCGCCCAGGACGGCTACCCGCTGATGAGTAGCACTCCGTCCTTGGAGTTGGAGGGGGTCGGCCCGCACCCACCGTGCCCGCCCCGCAGGTTTGCCCACCCAGCCCTCACCAGCACGCGGCGAGCATCCATGGTGGTAGCCGGGGCCCAGGCCGGCGTTTGGAGAAGGGAGAGCC